GGGCGCATTCCAGCATTGAATGGGGCAAAAATGCCCCAAGCACCACCAGTGCAAAAGTTAAATCACATGCCACCAGGATACGAGCCTTACCAGAGGCGTTTCCGTGTTTTAGTCTTGGAGAAAGGACTGCAAAAGCTGGAGAAGAGTCAGTGCACAGGGAGAAAGAGTGTTGCTGGGAAAAGGGAGGCGTGGCCATCAGGAATTCCAGAGGCCTGGATTAGGCTCTTGGGAGGGAGGGGTTTTGCCCTTGAGTCTGCAGTTCCTCACCACTGCGCTCCAAGTCGTGAACCTTGATGCTTCCAAAGCTGCTTCCCAAGTATTCGTGATTCCAGCTATGTCTGAAATGGCTGCGAGGAAAGGTTTCTTGGTGATCTGTAAGAAGCCAAGTTCTGGTCTGCCCGAAGGTTTTCCTTAAAGTCATTGCCAGTTGAAATCCTGAAATCCAGCCTGCCAGCAGTTCTGGACTGGGCAGGGTTGAGCTGCCACTGGATGTGTGACCAGCGTCTGCCAGGCCCTCCAGCCATATGCCCTGGATTTAAGCAGGCCGTGTTTCTGCATTATAAACTGTCTCAGTTAAATCCACAACTAGTTGGGTCTGTTGCTTTAAGCACTACTTTCGGGTCAGGTAGTCTTATTCTTTGAAATGAACCGAAGCACCCATGTATTCAAGGAGCAAAAAGCTGGTGAAGGTTTTCCACCAGCCCAAGATACATTTAGGATGGAAAAAATTCAGTCTAGCCATTGTGAGGAATCCAGTTTGGGGGTGGGAATTCATTGGATTTCCTCAGTGCAGCCGCCTGGACTCAGGACTGCTTTCTGGCCCTAGTTCTGGCCTACGCTGAGCGGAAACACAGGCAGGAAGCAGGCCCAGTCCTTGCATGCGCGTAACTAGCACAGCTCCCTGTGCAAGCGAGTTGTGCTTCCATGCGTGTGACTTTCAGGCTTTGCATACTTGGCAGGAGAATAATTCAGTGCACAGTAGCAGTCACAGAGTTGACCTCAACTTGGCTCGCTTCCTAGGCCAGGGCCGGTCGTGGGAAAGAAACCCAGTGAGCACGAGAGGGACAGATTTAAGGTAGATCTTTGTGTCACGGGCTCCTCTCTCCTCATCACAGGAAAAGGGCATGTTTTAGGGAGAGCTAAACTGAAGTCTTCCCTCTGACTTGATTGCTTCTCTGGGTGCCTGGAAGGTTTACCATTGTGCAGGTGCATTGAACTCACTTTCGATCCGCTAGCTGCAGACTGAAGCTGTTTGTATCAGCCGGTCCTCCCAGGCAAAGTGCGGCAGTCTGTAGCACTGGCAGCCTCAGAGAGCTCTGCAGCTTTTGGCGTGGATCAGAACAAGGTTAAAGGACCTTCTTCTCTTCTCTTTTCCATTCTCACAGTCAACAGCGGAGGCAAAACACCTTTGAATGAAGAGTTTGCAGAAGAATACTCCCTGGCTGATGGAATTAGGATTTGGATGGTAAGAGTTCCCCTTTTCCAGCCCCAGGAGATGACACTGCTGAGTTTCTCTCTTCCTGAGTTGGGATCAGCCTTGCTGTGGAACATCAAGGACCTGATTCTCTCATGTTTCCTTGCCTTCCCCACCTGCTGGGCCACTAGGGAAGAAGCAGAATGCATCTGTCAGACAAAGAGGGCGTTTGAAGTTTGCCAGAGGGCTACAAACAGTCTGCGGACTGCAGGGTCCCTGGCCCTGACATTTTCACTGCAACGACGCATGCATGCAGGGATCATCCCACATTGCAATGTGCGTGTCCATGTTTGCATTCCTCAAGAGAGCATTTCCCTCATGGGAAATTGGTTGTACTGGTCAATGGGTCTCCTGTTCTTCCAGTGAAATAAGATTGCTGAAATGTTGCCCCAGAAGGGTTGACTTTTGTCTCCTTTGAAAATATATGTGAGCTGCCCGGAGAGCCCCTGAACTACATATTCAAACACAACCAATCTGTATCTCCTTCCTACAGCTAGAAATGAAGCAGAAGTTCCTCTTGGGCCAGGGAAACGATGATGAGGAGAAGCAGGCTGGCATGATGAGCGAGGTAAACCCAGAAACCCTCGGTAAGTGTTCTCCTGTGCCCTTTTCCAGTGGGGCGGGGGGCGGGGGAGGCGGCGGCCCCGGTGGCACCCTAAATATTAGCACATTTGTTATTTAGCATAAGCCTTTCTGGGCCAGACTGGCCATGACCAGACTCAGGTGGCATGTGTGCTTGTTTCTGCACACAATTGCACGGGGGGTGAGGGTCTTTGTATGCAGTGGGGTCAAAGGGAAATGCTTTGCAAACATGCAACATCATAGCAGTACCTTTAAAGGAATCTAAAATAATTACAGTGGCTGTTCAGGATGCCCCATTGAGGACTGTGTTGCATTTCATCTTTGATGTAGTTTCCCAGGCTGCACTTCTTGTGTTTTGCTTCATGCACACACCTTTGAAGACATACCTACAATTTAGGATTCAGCATCCTGCATCTAATGATGGCAGCATAAGCATGTTTGTCTGGAGGGTCCCACAAGGCTCTTCCTTGCTTCTGCAGCAAGAGATTAAGAGGGTCCTCTTTCCACAGGAGAATACTCGCTGGTTCCCTGGGGAAGAGCTCTGATAAATCTCATTTACCAGAATGCATTGGGTACTGCTCCACAGGGCAGGTTATGCTTGGGGCTGCCAGCCAGCTGAAGCTATCTTGTGGATTAATTGATCCGACTTATTTACATCCTGCCTTTTTTCCTTGAAGGAACTCAAGTTGGCTTCCATTATCTCCCTCCTTTTGATCTTATCCTTGTTTATGTATATCATTCGTAATAGAATTGTAATCTTACTCATTACGATTCTTCGTTTAGTGGTGCATAAGTTTGGCTTTGGGCAAAAGCAGTCCTTCTGAAACAAGGAGTGTACTTTTCGGATGATGCGTCCCGTGTGTTGTAGCAAGCGTCAGTTTAGAATCACCCGTTCTCTTTCATACACGAGAGCAAAAGCCTCTTTTAATATGCCACTTTCCACCTGTCATTTTTAAAATCTGCTGCCTCCTTAGGAACATACTTTTAGCTGAGCCTTTGTTGACCTGGTGCCTTCCAGATGTGTTGATCTGCAACTCCACCCTCCCCATCAGGAATGATGGGAGTTGCATTCCCACACACTTGGAGGGGCCACTTGGGGGAAGGCCATGTTGGGCTATTAATGTTTTTGTGGATTCATTTCCTCCCTTTTGGGTCTTGCTCCACTGATTAAACTTTTCAGCTCAGGTTAGGTGGTTCTTGTGCCAGCAGGAAGCTGCATGTATAATGGAGATGACCTGTTTCTATTCCGTCAGTCCGTCAGGGACTGGCGGAAGGAGCGCTGCCCCTGCGAAGGGCTTCTTCTTTCTCACAGCAGCGCTCCAGGCCAGGAGATCAACTGGCGCAGTGTCTGAGTTACTCATCATCCCCCTTATTTCCAGTTGTCTATGTTGCCAAAATAGCATCCACCGCATACAAAAAGGGAAGGATCCAAAAATCTTCAGGGAGAACATCACTCCCCGCACCCCATCACCACAGTAGCCCCCACAATTTCATGGTAACAGGACGCTGAGTTGGGCAGGGAAAGGGGATGTAATGGAGTATCCCAGAAGAGGGCGTGGCTGGCTGGATCCCTGAGCAGAGGTTGACTTGCCCTGGCATCGTGCGAGTATGTCGCATGACTGCTTCTCTTTCTGGAAGCTTCCTGAAACAAGGGCCCAGGATGCGTGTGCTAAGACAGGCTTTCCACAATTAGCCTGCCTGTCAGTTCTGCGGGTTGCTTGGTCTCTCCGCTCTCCCTGTCCTGATGGTCCTTTTTTTTTTTAAAGTGTGTTCTGGTTCTGTCCTTGTTTCCTGCCTTAAAAACTGTTGCACTAAACTAACGGGCCGTGCATTCTCTAAATACGTTTCACCGAGGGATGTGAAGCCCACAGGCTTGCTCAGCTTATGTGATGGCAGTGTTGATTTTGCCTCGTAGCTCAGCAGTGCATCCAGAAGAGCCTTTTGCTGCTGAATTTCCTGCCTGCACGGACCAAGGTAGAAGGCCGTGACTTGGAAAGCACAGAAGAGTCCAGGCTGTGCCATGCAGAAAAGTGCCAAAGGACAAGCTCTGTGGTCGAAGCGGACTTCCAGGCATCCGGTTCAGCTGCTGCCAGCAGTTTCGTTTTCCCTGAGCGGAGTGAAGCAGGGGACTCCGAGTCCAAGAGAAACCAAGTGCCAAGCCCCTCGCAGGCAGAACTGCCCTCAGCATCGCAGAGTAAGACCCTGGACCGGGTCCCCTCAGAACAAGAGGAGGCCCTGTCCTCTCCCTCTACCCCCACCCGCAAGCCTCCGTTCAACCGTGGGCGCCTCCGGCTCCTCTCCTTCCGTTCGATGGAAGAGTCCAAACCAGTGCCCAACATTAAGGAGAAATATCCCATCCTGAGACACGTCTTGGACTTCATTAAGGACCAAACTCTTTCTCATGAAAGGTGAGCTGAGTTGCAAACCGGCGGTCTGTGTTCCTCAGCTCTCAGGGCTGGCAATTTTCTTGTTTTTACTGCTTTAGGGAATTAACTGTAACTTTGCAACAATCAGATAGGAAGTGACCCGATGAATCAAAATTATGAAAATGGAAGATAAGAGATGGCTGAGGAGCCAGGGACACGGAATGGAAGTCAGTATGGTAGATCACGTTTCAAATAAAGAAAAAAAAAATATTTGATTTAGAGAGTCTAGCTAGTGTAGGTATAAATAAATGAACCTGCAGAAGGGACATGTAAGGGAATATTTTTTTTAGAATCAGTGGCACCCACAGTTAAAGTTAGGGCTAGTAGAAGATGGAGCATAAACCTTTCAGAATAACATTTTCTTATTTGAAAAAGCTCCAGCTGATAGAAATAGAAATTCATCTGTTGCTTCCTTCAGGCAAGTACTGTGATTTTTAAGACAAGGCAGTATTCCAACATCTCTGTGCTCAGCAGATGCCACCAGAGTGTGGTCCAGGACCTCTGGGTTTTCCCATGGGACTGTGGGGGCTACTGCAGCATATTGGTCCAAGGTCTGGGGTGGGCAGAGAGGGGGGCCGGTGAAGAACACAGATATTCCCTCCCGATACAAAAATGGCTTTGTTGAGCCTTCCAGCCACCACTAAGTGGTATTCTTAGGAAGTTAGAGGAAGCGTGGACTCTGCCTTTCTGCCCACCTATCCCATGGCTGCCACTTTCTGTTCCACTTGATGCAACCTTTCGGCATAATCCCATTTGCCTCGCTTGTGTTTGCTCCTAGCGTGCTGCAGGTGCTGTCCCTCAGGAAAGCTCAAGCCAAAAACATCTTGGAAGTCCTGAAGATGATCCTTCAGTGCCTGCGCTCCCTCAGCCAGCCTCACTGTTTCGTGCCCCCATGCATCATTTTCCTCCTGGAACTTCTGGCTTGCCAGAAAGACTTCACAAAGTAAGACGTGTGGGAAATCCTGCTTCTCACATGGGAATTTGCTCAACGTTGGGTTTCCTTACACCTCTCCTTGGCTCCTCCCGGCTTATATTTAATCAGGAATGTGAGATGGTCCCTCCTCTACGGCTTAGAATCTGAAAAGGAAAATGGGATGGAGAGGAGAGGAGACGGGAAATAATTCTTTTAGCAGGGCTGCTCTCCCTGTTTTCTCCTGGTGCCACAATGCAGGCCCAGTTTTGCAGCTCCGTTCTAGAATTTGGGCAGCTTTCCCCACAGTTTTCCTGCTTTTCCAGAGGATTAGGGATGCCACGTGCAGCTCTGTGACCCATGTGATGGCAAAAGCAATGGCAGGACGCAAACAGGTGAAATTGGGGGAGATGCTGGCAAGAGGGGAAAATCAGCGTACTGGGCTAAATGGTAGGCAGGAGCCTCCCTGCCCACCTGCCCGCCCCCCAAATAAAATGCAAAAAATTGGCTCAGGAAAGTAATTCTGCCCAACCAGCTGATGCAGGAAGGGGTGGGATTTTTTCAGGAACCAGCAGCCTCAGCGGCCCCAAGGTGGAAAGCGTGCTGATCAAGGATGAGGAGACTTGCAGGGGGGTCTGCCCCAAAGGTGCCTGGGATACATCCCCGGGGCTGCTGAGAGGGACTCTCAGGGCAAAGCAAGCCACGGGGCAGTGGACTGGCTGTTGGCTTTGTGAGCAAGCAGCTGACCCACCAAGCAGCCCATGGCGGCGGCTTCTACGGGTGGCTTGGCATGCTGGGCAAGCTGGCCCTGTGGCCACCTCAGAGGCACAACTCAACAGCTTCTCCTCCTGTTTTCCAGCTATTTCAGTCACTTGGAAGGCTGCGGGGCTGAGCTGCACCGAGAAATACGGGAATCCTACTACCAGCTGCTGCTCTTCTTGGTCAACGCTCTGAAGGAATTTCACAACCTTGGTGACAAGTATGGACTCTGGCGCTCGCGAAGCTGCGAGAGTCTGCTTTAGCCCCGGGCCTTCCTTCTTTCCTTCCTTGCCCTGGGCCGTCTTGGAGATGGCCACTCTTGGTTGCCAGCCGGTCCTTGCATGCTGCTGCTTCGGGCTCTCAGAGAGTTGACTGGCCTCTCAGAATGCCAAGTGGACTGGCATTTCTCACTGTGGACCTGGGTCTTGCTGAGTTCACTTGCCCCTTGGCTGCTGTTCCATGCCTACCCAGTGGACTCTGACAATCAGCACAATATTTTTTCCACTGACAAGGAAGGGCCCAGTTGTTCTGAGATGAAGTACCCAGATTGCGACAAAAGCACCCCCCCACACACACACACATGCACGGCTAATGTGACCATATCAGGGTATCCTCTGGCCATGGCAACCTTTGGGTGCTTGCGCTCAAGAATTTAAGCTGTCCCTTGCCCACCCCACATCTTGCCAACCGCACTGGTCACATCCCAAGGCAGTGCACTTTACTTCAGTTAAAAATTCCACACCCTCGTGTGCTGCAGTGACAGAGGCCGGGGACACCAGGCTGAAAGCGACTGCCTGTGTTGAAAAGTGGGAACTGGCTTCCAGTGAGGAGCATTTATTTGTCTCATTTATTGTATTGTATCCTGCCCTTTACAGTTTCTCAGGGCGCTGATAACCTAAATAAGGCGTGGCAGCAATTTACAGCCGACTCCCATATGTTGCCCTAGAAAGCAGGAACACAGAGTGGTGTCTGTCTCCTTGTTAGATCCCAGATCTTCATTTCTAGAGAGTCTTCCTCAGACTTTGAATTGTAGAAAAGCACAGCATGGTTCAACACTTCTCTTGGAGGTGAAAACGTTGAACACCCCGTATCTTTCCCGCATGCCAAACCTGCATTACAGGCATTTCAGCAGGTCTACAAATAATTGTCTGCATGAAGCAATTATTTGCTAGGTTCAGTTACTCTTCAGCCCTACTCAGACCTAATGATAGCTTTTGATAGCAATTCACGGATGAATTATCCCATGAATTATGGAGAGCATGCTGCGTGCAAGCTGTTTCCCGCAGCCACCTAGAAATGGGCTTTTATAGCTTGTTTCTGTGACAGCCAAACCCAAGCCTATAGGTTTGTTCATGGGTTAAACAGCCACAAATTAGCCCACAAACAAGCCATGAATTAACCACGCCTTCCATCAGAAGTTGCCATTAAATTTGAGCAGGGCCAGTGTCTCAAAATGGCCACTACTGCTTCTGTGGTGGGTGAGACTGCGGCGGGGAGTTGCGACGTGTAGGGCTGGGAGAGGCTGGCATAAGGAGGACCTGGCTGGAACAGCCTGTGGAGAATGAATGGGATAGTCATTCTCAGCACATGTTCCAAGGTCAGGCAGAGGAGGACTTGTCAAGTGGTGATGGATCCTGGGGACCAGAATCCCCTCACACTGCAGTGGGGGAAGCGGGGGGCAGAGCTATCTCAGGGGCACCCTCCCAAACTGTTGGGGCAGATGCTGTGAGAATAGTCTGCAGGAAGAGGGTGTGAGAGGGAACTGCAGCCAGCTGAGCCTGCTGTGGCCTCTGACCCCCCAATATGACATTGGGAGAGATGGGCTGGCCAGCTAGAGGGCTGATGGACAGAGGAGAGGCTTTTCCGCCTCCAAAAGCCCCCCCCCCCCACCCCAGGAGGGTTCCTGGGCTTCTCAAAAGGAGAGTATTGGGAAGTAGTTGCTAGATCAGGTTCAACAAACCGCTCTGTGCAGTCTAATTCTTGGTTGGTTGTGTGTACTGGAAGGGCACTGGAGAATAAAGAGCTTTTGCCAAATGATGACCTGGCCTGCAGCACTATCTAGTGCAGCGTCCTGTTTTTGACAGTGGCCTTCAAGCATTCTGAAGGCCCGGCAATGGCAGGACCCCCCCAGCAGATGGCTGGCCTGCCGACACCCGGTCTCCCCTGATCAGCGGTCCTGTGTGCCACCGTGACTCTCTGCCCCGGGCAGTCCTCCTTTCCTCCTCCTCTTCCGTTTATGTGTCGATAGCCTCTGGAAAGCATTCAAACTGGCAGCCACCATCACATTGTGCGACAGCTAATTACGCCTTCTGTGAAGAGTGTACTCTTGCCTGCCAGGCCACACGCTCTTCTCTCCACCCCCCCCCCCCCCCCGGCTGTTTCCTTTCTTGTAGCTAAAATTATGGCTCCCTCTTCCTCTCTTCAGCCACCTGCAGCCTTCCGGTTCCTCCCATTTTAATCACGCTGTCCTGATTTGTCTTCCCTGCCGGTCCAGATCACTGCTCCCTGCCTTGTCGTGTGTGCAGACGTCCCTCCTTCACCTCCTGGACATGGGTTGGGAGCCAGGCGACCTTTCCTTCTTTGTCAACATACAGCTGCCACAGCTCCTCATTACTATGTCACAGGAGAACATAAGTACCCACGACAGTATCATTTGGTAAGTCGGGAGGGTTGGCAGTCTTTGAAAGGAAGGAAACAGCTGCAAACTTCTTGTTTAAAAAGTCTCTTCTATGCATCTCAGGGTTGTATGAGGCAGCCCCCCCCCCCACACACAGACACATCTGGTGTTCTCCAGAAGCTGGACTACACGTCTCAGCATGCATAGCCAACCCTGGACCAGCACTTCTCAGGAAATCTTTGCCTGGGACTACCTTAAACAGCTCTTGGCAGGATGGTGGGGTAGAAGGCTGAGAATGAACCGGAAATACAAAATAAGACTTTTGGGTGCCAGAGATGGAAAGTCCAGCTATTATGTAAAACAGTAAAAATGGTATTTTCCTGGTATTGCAACCTTGGCTTTTGTGCACTGGGGTGGGGGTGGCAGCTGTTTTTCCTGTCAAGGCCTAGTCTGTCTGTCTGTCTGTCCATCCGTCCGAGATTTTTATCCCACCCTATTAAGCCAAAAAGGCTCACCAGGCAGGTCCATCTGATGGGGGCTGCATGTCTTTTGAGAAAGGGGGGAAATGGTTGAGGGCACAGCCAAAGCCAACGGGGTCATGGGCCTTTTTTATTTGTGACCTCCTTCCCTCCCTCTTTCCTGTGTCTGTCTGTCTGTCTGTCTCATATTCCTCCTCTTCCTTTCTTCCCAGCCTGCTGCCAGAGAAGGGCCGGTTAGCTCTCAACAAAAGTCGAAACTGCCTGCGCGCAGAGAGCATTTGGCCTTAGACAGAGGGTGGCCATAAAATTAGACTCTGGTTCCTTGGATTGTTCACCTGGGGTTGAGCTCAAACACTTTGTTTCTGGGGTCTCCAGAATCCAGTGGGACTATTTTCTGTTAAGAGGAGACACTCCAAAGAGGCAGAACCGTGAAACAGGAACGTACATGGAGTCCATCAGATACAGGATCCTGTGTGGATCTCAGTCCATTTTACATTGCAAGCATTGGTTCTGTCATCACGGACAAAGGAAACTGGACATCTGTGAGAACCTCTCAAGAAAACTGGCTCTGGGAGATGAACTCCTGTGGGAGCTAGTTTTCTCAAGATGTCTAGTCTTGTCTTGAAGAGCTTTGAGAGTGAAGAGCTTTGAGAGTCAGGTTTTTTCCTGTGCATTGGATGGTGTTAGTTCTAGCCCTGCCATTCTTGCATAAAGCCTTAATTTCGTGCTTTGTTCTTAGTCAGTGGAGTGAAGAGGAAGAACTTGCAGACTACAAACAAAACTCAGAGTGGATGGATGAGTGTCAAGAAGGAGTCTTCGAAAGCTGGTGTGACAAGATAAGCCAAGCAGACCCAGAGAAGCAAAGAAAGGTCATTAGAATGGACAGGAAAAAAAGATTTTTGGAAAGCTTTTC